GTGAATGGCGACCTTGAAGAAACAAGCATGGAGAGGCAGTTGGTGAGTAACTAGAGGGCAGAAGTGGTGGAAAGAGAGGACTCATGGCATTGAGTCACGCCCCAGATGAGAATTTCACAAGCTTTGCTCTGCGTGGGGTCTGCGGACTCAGGTAATGGAACTTGCTGTGATGACTTTTGCAGGATTTTGCAAGTTTTTCTGCAGCAGGTTGTACTCTAGAGCCTTCTATGGGGCTGCCTGCAGGCCAGATTCTCAACCTGAGAGCCAATCTTGGGGAAGATGGGACTGGCTCACTGGGAAAACTCTCCCTGGCAGGAAAAGGCTCACCCTGTGGAGAAGATCATGTTCCCTGCCAGGAAACAAGGAGTACAGGACAGTCATTACCCAGAGGACAGTCTTGATGTTTACCCAGGCAGGGTAGAGGGGAAGGGACTATTGTTCCACAACACAGCCTGGGCCCTTTGTAACTCAGCCCTGCCTTCTGAACAAGTCCCCATGTAAAGTCTGCCCTCCCTGCCTGGGAATCACCTGGTGAGAGCTAAACTCGGGTGGCCGGCGGACACACTGATTCTTAGACATCTGGCCTGGCTCCTTTGTGTGCTGTCCGCATTTCAGCCAGACCCATCCCCAACCCGTGGCTCACAAGCCACGGAGCTGGGTCTGGACCTCTTCCACACTACAAAGGAGAAAGAAACAGAAAGGAGACTGTTAGTGACTTTGGAACACCGAGAACTTACTGTGCTGGCCCTGTGGCACCTAAGCACCCAACTGCCTGCTTTACCGATGCCCCCTCCTCCTGCTCTGCACGCTGTGATCAGCATCTCTGCTGTCCAATTCTAGCTCAACAAGCCTGAGGTCACACTGGAGGGGATCCTCTGGAATTGGTCTTTATGAAGGGACAGCTTGTTAAGTTCACAAGTGTGCCACAAGTGTGCACAGTCATTCTCTGTCACAAAGAACAGGAGGCAAAGAATGAGTAAAATGAAGTAAGTGTCCCCACCTGGTTCTGTGGGTGACTCCACGATCCTGTTTCCTTGGAGCCAGGTTCTTACAGGAGTCGTGGCTTCTATTGGCAGGGGCCAGGCAGCAGCACAGGTGTCTGAGGCAGTTCACCATTGCTCTCTTGACCCCCTTCCACCTGTGGCGCCTACGGCTTTGGGAGGAAGCTGGGCCGGCAACCTCAGGCTGGCCATGGGTGATGGCATTCTCCTCTGTGATAGAGTCATCCTGAGTCATGGTCATTTCAGGTGTGTCATCCTCTTCCTGGGTTACGGTTGCTTCTTTTGTGGTGGCTTCTTGGTGGGAGGAGGAGCCTTTGGGAGTTACACTCTGAACTGTCTCCACTGAGCTCCAGAATTCCTCTTGGTAACTGCAGGAAGCTCTGTTGCCTGTGTCACGTGTGGTCTCATTGTGCTCTGGACTAGAAGAAGCAGTGTACATTAAGAGTGATGATGGGTGGACACTGGCCCTCAGGCTGCCACTTTTCCCGATCATCGACTCAGAGAAATTCTCGCTCATTTCCTCGCTACTGCATGTGAGGAAAAGAGCACAATGCCTGTTCAGGTAGACCTGGTGGGGAGGTCGGGTCCTCTCTGAGTGGCGGCACAGGGTGGCAGGCATGCTATGCCTTGTGCCACACTGCCTGGCATTCTTCTCATGCTCTCTCTCCTGGGGATTGGATGACAAGGTGAAGGTCAGGGGAGCAGGCTCACTAGCTCGCCTTAGGGGCACAGGGAAGGTGTGAAGATCATCCAGGTTGAGGACAAGGTCTGGCTGCATGGATTTCACCTGGTGATGGCAGCAGTCTCCCCCAGGAGACTGGTGTTGGAGAATCAGGTAAGTGGCCATCACCTGGTTGTAGTTTGGGTCTCTCAGAGAATCAATTCTCTCCTCAGATTTATACCCCATGACCATCATGGTGTTGACAATGCTTGGGCTCAGGGCGCCTGGGGGTTTCTGTGTGGAAGGAGGTGGCAAACGAGTCTTCCTGTCCCTGATCATGGGGCGCTTCATGATTTGATCAATGGTCGGCCTCCTTCCCGGGTTGATCATCAGTAGTTCTACGATGACATTGAAAATATCCATGGAAACGTGCTGAGGTATGGTGAAGTTTGCGGCAAGGATCTGATGCCTAACACGTTTAGAAGAGCTGACCCGGAAGGGAAAGCGCCCAACCACCATTAGGAAGAGGAGCACACCTAGACTCCACATATCTGTGGCATACGCATCATAGGCCTCCTCTGCAAAGAGTTCTGGGGCACAGTAGAGCAGAGTGCCACAGAAGTCCTTCAGCAGCTGTCCTGGGGTCACGTTGGCAGCAAGGCCAAAATCACACAGTTTGGCATCACCTCTGCTGTCCAGGAGTATGTTATTGGCCTTAATGTCCCTGTGGGCAATATGGTTGCTATGGCAGTACTCCACTGCAAGGAGTATCTGGGTAAATAGCCTTCGCACCTCGCTCTCCTCTAAGGACCCCACTTCCAGAATGTGTCGAAGAAGATCTCCCTCTGATGCGTACTCCATCACCAAGAAGGTGGTCTCTCTTGATTGGAGCACGTAAAACAACTGAATGATATTCGGATGTTTGAGAGATTTCATGATGTTGACTTCACGCTCGACAAGCGACGCGTTCTCCTCATTTCTAACAGCTTTGACAGCCACACAGGTTACAGTAGGAACGTGGAAGGCCAGTTTGACCTTGGAAAAATGTCCCTGGCCCAAGGTCATCATCATCTTATAGTCCGTCATGAAGGACTCCTCGGAGGAGTAGTAGGCCTCCCTGCCCTGCTCCATGGTCGGGTCCTTGTTGATATGGCTAGAAACAAATTCACAATGGGGAAGTGTAAAGAAAAGGTTCAAATCAGGCCCAGGAGAATATGCATAGCTACACATTCCTATGTCCTAAAGGAAGGCACTTAGAGACAGTGCAGACAGCCTAAGCAGGTACTTAACTCTCAGGAAGAGAAGTAAGTGCCTTCCACATCAGAGGACTGCAGAATATGACACCAATAGGTTATGCAGGAACCGTCCGGAAACTCAGAGAACAAAACAAAGGTCACAGAAGCTAAGGCCCACTCATTGGGAGAGCATCATGATCCTCTTTCTCCACCCAACACTCACAGAAGTGAGGCTCTACTAAAACCAGATTCAAGAGCAGTTGCCAAGGCAACAGACACCTGAAAACCCAGAGTGTCTGTGTGGGGAGATAGCACAGGAGCATTCACTCACAGGAGGCAGCTCCTGACTACACTGGGATGTTGTGACTAAATGCTGTGTTCCATGGAACCCCAGGGCCTGGACTAACATCTGTGAGAGTTAAAGATGACATCATTCATCACATGATCCGTATTAGGCCTGAGACTTCTCACCAAAGTCCATGATCCCAGAGACAGTAGACTGATATATTCAAATCATCAAGAAAATATTTCTGTTCCAGAACCCTAAGACAACATTTGAAAGATGGAGCCACAAATGGCACCCTAGGCTCTTCCTCTCAAACAAAATGCCTCAGTTTTGTCACTTAAAAACAACAGAAATGGGTTGCTTGTGTATCTGGATATTCACAAGATAAGATCAATGGACATTCACAAGTTAAGATCCAGTACCTGGGGCCTGAGTGTACAGCAGGACTGCACTCTAGCTGTAATTAGTACTTTGTGTGTATTCTCACATGATCAAGGAAAAGCATAAAGTCAGTCTATGAAGCCTTTTCTTAAAGGCCACATGTTCTGCTGTGTGACAAACTCTAGTGCTCCTGAGTCCCCACTTGTTACTACTGTTATATTAGGATTGAAGATTTCAACAGCGAGGCTACATTACACAGGCACATATTTTCACACACACATACACAGACAGACAGACAGACAGACAGACACACACACACACACACACACAAACACACACACACACACATACTCCACCATCAGACATGATCCAAATCGCGGTGCTCACCCTGAGGAGAGTCCTTCAGGGTCAGCTGATCCACCTTGTACATGAGCTCAATGGGAAAGCTAGCATACCTAGAGTCTTTGTTCATAAAATTAAACTTGCATCAGAGGGTGGAGCCAGCAAACTGTTGATAGGAATTAGGTATAGAGAGCATGGAGAAGTCAGGAATCGGGATAAGGAGATGTACCAGAAGGAGTACAGGGTTCTTAGAGATTCAGGGACATTCCCTTGGGATAGACAGAGAGACACGTTGCTTGTTGGTTTTCAGTCCAAATAGGAAGGTGAGCTGATTGCTGCTCCGCATCTAAGAGTTTGCCGGCTCTCTTTACACTTTCACTTACTCTGTTCTTGAATTCTTTTCTGCTGCCCTGTTCAATACATAATATCCAAACAATGGCGTCTGACTATTTCTTCTGCCCTTGCCAATCCTGACCTTGAACTGCCGTGAAGATCCTAAGATAACCACCAAGCAGGAGGCTTCCTGCCAAAGCAGACACATTGGTGCCCTTCCCTAAGAGACCATCCATTGTGGCCTGTCAGTCCTCTCAACAGGAGTCCACATGACATGGCATGTACTCAGAAAGCAGCTGAATAAAAAGGGAATCACTGAGGGACTTGGAACGGGTGGGCAGGAGGCCGTGAGATCAGAGGACTGTGCACCAAGTTTTTGTACATGTATGTAAATGGCGCAGTGAGAACCTTTTATAGTTAATATAAACTGATTTTTAAATGGTGATGGAACGAATAAGTCTAGATAAAATGACACACTACGATAGAGTAGTTCAGCTGGGCTCTGGTGGCCCACCCCTTTAATTCCAGCACTTGGGAGGCAGAGGCAGGCAAATCTCTGTGAGTTCGGGGCCAGCCTGGTTTACAGAGCAATTCCAGGACATCCTCCAAAACAATACGGAGAAACTCTGTTTCCAACAACCAAAAAAAAGTAAATTATTCTAATAAAAAAAATAATAAATGCCCAACATCTTATCCCAAATCAAGGAAGAAGGACGGTAGATTTAGTTAAACTCAGAGAAACAATATCTCTAAACCCTTCTCAAAGAGACCATCCATTGTAGCCTGAAAGATATTTTTAAATGGCGAAAGAAGGAATGAGTCAAGGTAAAATGGCACATTAAAATAGAGTAAAAGTCTAATATAAAAATTGTCCCACATTGTACCCCAAACCAAGGAAGGAAGAAGGTAGAATCAGTTGAAATTCAGAGAAACAAAATCTCTAAACCTGGTATCTATGAGCTACAGGACACTCACTGTGTTCAGATTCACCAATTCAAGAATTGAATTGAATATCCAAGTACAACTTTCTCACTAATATCCAAATCTCAATTATCTCCAACCAGCTAACAGCTTCTGCGCTGTAAGGACTGGAGTCAGCCTCAGCCAGAGCTGTTAGTGCAGAGGAGTCTGTCATTGTGAGGTCACAGCAAGAAATGGACCAATGACGGTTCAGCACACCTCACTGGTGTTCTTACCTTCTGTCACCAAGGACAGGAAGGCTAGTCTGCTCAGTGAGGCAGTAGGAGCCTGATAAGACTGTCTACACTCAAATGACTGTCCCCAGTGTGCCCAGTGAGACACTTGTTCCTGTAAAGTCAACTTCCCTGGGGTTCACACATTGTCTCAAATAATGTCACCTGGTGGGAACTATGTCCAAATGCTTGATTCTTTGGGGGACATTGTCACCCAAACCTTAATCAGGATGTGTTTCACTTTTATTATGGAAATAAGTAATCCTAAGAATGACAAAAGGCCCCACAACATTGGCCCTTCCTTGGTTATGGACCATGACAGTCTCCAGGTAGTAGGTGCACTGAGTTTTGCTTTTCTTTTGGACCCTAGCACCCTATGACAAGGTTGTAATAACTCAGAATGTCTACACTCTAAGTTCTCAGGTTATTTTTCTCTAAAGACAGATTTCTGAATCCTATATGATGATTATATTGGGATGTTGTGACATAATAATGTGTTCCATTGCACCCTAGGGCCTGGAACTAACATCATGGGGTTTAAAGATGACATCATTCATGATCCCCATTAGGTGTGAGATTTCTCAGCATAGCTCAGGATCCCAAAGGCAGTAGCCTGATATGGTCAAAATGGTGAAGAAAAGACTTGTCTGCAAGAACCCTAAGACAATCCATGTGGAAGATGAAGCCATACCCTGTCACCCTAGGTTCTATGATTG